TCTTTAAAAAAATGTAAGACACACACACACACACACACACACACACACACACACAGAGGGAATATTACTAAGTCATAAAAAAAGAATGAAACTGTGGCATTTGCTGGAATGGATAAAACTGGAGACTCTCTCGTGCTAAATGAAATAAGCCAATCCAAAAAAAAAAAAAAAAGGCTGAATGTTCTCCCCGATGTTCAATGCTAACACACAAAAGAGGGATGGAGGGAAGAACAGAAGTTCATTGGATTAGACAAAGGGGAATGAGGGGGAGGGGGAGGGGAGTAGGAAAGACAGTGGAACGAATCGGACAAACTTCCCCGGTGTTCACATGTGAATACGCGGGTACAACCACAGGAATAGGAAGTCACACCCCGTGTGTGTATAATATGTCAAAATACACTCTACCGTCACGTGTAGCTAAAAAGAAGAACACATAAAACAAGAAATGAAGTCATTAAGATTTAAAAGAAGAAGAAGAAGAAGGGGAGAAGACACGGAGGAGGTAACCTTGGTGGCACACGCTGGAATGACATGGCCACAGCCAAGGGATGTGCAGAAGGCCACTCCTGAGCGCCCTCAGGGTGGGGTGGCCCTGCGGGCCCCTTCTGGTCCCGGCACTGGGGCAGCAGGTCCTGCCTCCGCCGCCTCAGGGGCTCAGGGCCCCGACCCTGGGGGGAATTCACCCTTTCCCTGGGGAAACCCCCAGATCGGGGAAGACGGGGTTGGGAGGACCTGGGGAAGGCAGAGGAGGTTTTTCTGAGAAACGGGGTGTCCTGGGGGTGGGAGGAGGTGGGGGGCACAGATACAAGTCTGAGCCGCCGTCTGTGACGGTCCACGTCCGCAGACCACCTGAATGTCAGCAGGGAAGCACGTGACCCAGGAGACCCAGGGCAAGGCCGGGTGGTGACCGGCCCTGGGGAATGTCAGCCTCCCTCTCCGCAAGCTCCTGGCGTCTGGGGCTGGGCTGCGGCCCGGTGGTGGCACGCTCGCCTGCGTGAGGACTGGGAATGTCCAGAGTCACCACAGGCTGGGGACGGTCTCATCCCTCCTTTGGTGAGAAACAGTCCTCTCTCACATTCCACATGGCCGCTCCATCTCATCATGTAGGCCTCAACTTTTTCTTCCATTCCACAGATATTCATGGGACACAGACTGTCCAAGGCAACGCACCGCCTCCTGAGTACACTTGGTAATCAGAGGCAAAACCCCTGCCCTCTGAAGGCTTCTACTTGATCAGAAGGAGAAATGCCACATCTTCAGAGAGCTCTTCCCTGACTCTTAAGGGGTCGTTAAGGTAGAACCCCATGATGGGATTATAGGAAGAGTCACCAGAATCCTCAGTCTGTGTGCACACACCAGGGAAAGGTCAAGTGAGCAGGGCTGACTCTTAGTTACTCACAATATTTCTTTTACAGTGTGGAGACGAACCCAGAGTCTCAACCCATCTAGGCAAGTGCTCGATCACTGAGCTACACCCTCAGTCCAAAAGATCCTTTTTTATTTTCATCCTATTAGTACCTGTAAATTTCCTATGGAAAAGGGTTCCCTGGATGCCCAGCAGAGAAAGTGAAAAAAATCCAAAAACCCTCACCTCGCAGTATGTGTCCTAAAGCACAAAGTGCTGTGGACAACGAGAAAATCTGACAAGTTTCGGGGGAAAGAGAAATCCATATTCAAAGGAAAAGTACTCAGAATGACAAGCAACTTCTCCACAGAACCCTGGAAACTAGAAGAGAATGGAATGGAATCCTGTGTCTTACAGGAAAGGGAGGGCCGAGAGAGAATTCTACACCCAGCCCAACTGTCACTCAAGTGTTGAAGCAGGATGAGAGTATTTTCAGACATGCAGGACCTCAAAAGTTTACCTCCCAGGACTTTTTCTCAGTTCAGCAGGCTCTCCATATTTGCAAGTTCTGCATCCATGGATCCAGCCAACCAGGAATTAAAAAAAAAAAAAATGGAAAAAAATCCAAAAAGCAAAACTTGAGTTTGCCACAGGTCTTGAAATATTCTGAATCTATGCCAAAGAACCGATGTATAGGCCCGGCGTGAAGTACCATAGGTCATAAAGAGATGATTTAAAGTATGAACGAGGATGTGCATAGGTTCTCCGCCAGCGCTATGCCATTTGGTAGAAGGGACATGGATTTTACATCCCTGGATTTTGGTGTCTGTGGAGGGTCCTGGAAACAATCCCCTTTGGACACTGAGGGACAAGAGGAAATCAATGAAGGAAGGAGGCAGAAAGAGAGGAAGGGGCCCAGCAGTCAGGGCAATTATGGTGCTTCAGCCAGCACGTGGCTCCCTCTACCTGGAGTGGCGGTCAGAGGCACAGGAAGGGACATCAGGAGAACACACTTAAGAGACGACTTGACGAGTGTTAAACTTCCAAGGGAGGTTTTTAGAGATGACATAGGAATGTTATAGATTAAATATTTGTGTCCCCCGGAATTCACATACCGAAGCTCTAACCCCCAATATGATGATAGTAGGAGGAGGGGTTGAGAAGAGGTTGTTAAGGTGGGGCCCCCATGATGGGATTAGTGTCCTTGGTGTCACCAGAATTCTCAGTCTGTGTGCATACACTAGGGAAAGGTCAGGTGAGCACACAGTGAAAGGCAGACACCCCAGGAAGAGAACCATCACCAAGAACGGAATCTGCCTGCACCTTGGTCTTGGACTTCCCCGCCTTTAGAACTGTCAGCAATAAAGGTCTGTTGTTCGATCCACTCAGCCAGGCAGGGACTGGAACCACCAAAACCATTAGCCAAAATAAACCTTTTCTCTTTATAAGTTAATTGCCTCAGGTGTTTCATTATAGTGATGAAAAACTAATATACTTCCCAACAGTTCTCACCCCCATGGTTACCACAAGGTATCTCTTTTCTGCTCAGGCTGAGAAGTTGGATGCTCTCAGTGGATGAAAAGTTTGAAAGAGCCTCATTCATGAGTAAGAGAAATGAGGAAAAATAAACCCTGCCATGCGGGGGGGACCTCCCACTTGTTCCTCCAGCCCCACCCCTGGCCCCCAGTCTCCCAGGACTCCACTTGGGCTCACCTCGGACACTGTGCCAGTCTCCAGGAGAGCAGCCACCACGTAGGCCGTCAGCGGGACTGTACCGTGGATCCCACCCTGCAAGAGGACGCTCAGGCCTCACCCCTGTCCCAAAGAGGACAGCCCATCTCCTGCCAGAGTCCTGCCCCCGCCTTAGCCCCTGCTCCCACTGTGACCCTGCCCATCACCCAGCACGGGCCCGCCCTGCCCAGCCTCAGCCTTGCTAGGGCCGGGCTCCCCCATCCCCAGCACCCCTGCCCAGACCCGGCCTCTGCCCAGGTGCCCCCTCTACCTAGACCCCGCCTCTGCCCAGACCCCGCCTCTGCCCAGAACCTGCCCCAGAAAGGCCCCGCCCTGCCCAGGCCCCGCCCTTGCCCAGGCCCCGCCCCTCGCCCAGCACAGGCCACGCCTCCACACACCGCCAGCCCCGGCCTCCAGCCTTAGTCCAGCGCTTCCTTTAGCCCTGCTTCGAGGAGCAGGAGGGGGTGGACAGGCCACTCACCTGGATGTCCTTGTTCAGGATCCTGCCCACCACGGGGAAGGCGCCGTCAGCTCCCTGCTGCTGGATGATCCAGCCCTTGGCGGCGGCCAGCTCCTGGGGGTCGATGAATATGAAGCTCCGAGCCTGCGCGAAGGACTTCAGGACAAAGGCTGTGAGCCTGCAAGAGGATGCGGTGGGGCTGGGGCTGTCACCGAGCAGGGTCACCTTCCTGGGGGCCTCTGGGGATCAGCCAGACGTACACAGGTTTCTGGGGAGGGGGGCAGGTCGCCAAGCTGGGCCCCCTGCAGGAAAGGGCTCAGCGGCGTGTCCCCCCCTCGCCCCCAGCATTGCTGAGGGCAGTGGGCGCTCTGTCTGTCCAGGAGGGACGCCGTATCTGTGGCCACGCAGAGGAGCCCGGGTGGGGGTGTAGGGTTGGCAGGGGAGACCCAGGCTGGGTGGGCCCCACCGTGATGCCCAGGACTGCCACCGCCGGAGCACCCCAGGGCACGTGGCCAGCTGGCCCAGCCCCCAATGGGTCCTTCTGTGCTGGTGGCACCCCAGGCCAGGGACCCTGCTCACCAGCCACCTCCCCACACCCCCAGCCCTCGTGAGTGGTGGCCTGGCCCATGACCTCTCCCTGCCCAGTTCTTCCTGCCCCAGGTCACCCCCATTCCTGAGCTCAGAGCACCCAGGGGCCAGCGAGCAGGGGCTGGGCTCCCGTCACCATAGTAACAACAGCAGAAAGAGTCCCAGCAATGACACTGCTGTGCCCAGCCCCGGCCACCCTGCCTCTCCCCGGGGAACCCCGAGGCGGAGACCACAGCTGTCTGTTTCCCATGGCGTTTCCTGCCACCCTCCCCAGGTCTCAGAGCCTGAGTGTCCTCGTGCCCAGGGTGGGGAGGGACTCACCACATGCTCCCCGACGTGTCCCGCTCCCCGAAGGCACTGTAGGATCCGTCCTGGTGCCTGTAGGTCAGCTGGCGCTGGTACCCTATGGGAAGAAGGGGACCGGTTCTGCTGAACAGCTGCCCCGGGGCTGCCTGCAGGGCCCGGGCCTGGCACCCCCCCACAATGCCACCTCACGTCTGGGGCTCTGGAAACGGTCTCCAAACCACAGATCAGGTCCTTGAAACTGTCCACACCCACACCTGGGTCCCTGAAACGGACGCTCACACTCCTGGGGTTCTTGAGACTGCCCCACCCCTGCATGTGGGGCCACTGTGACCTCTGCCTCATTTTCTAACGGCCTCTGTGGCATTGTGGGGAGGTTACACACCAGCCCTCAGTGGTGCCCAGGTGACCAATGAAGTGTACCACCTCGAGGTGGCACCCTGGTTCCTGGGTGGCCAATGTCCACCCCCTCCCAGGCCCACACATCCTGAGCGCCTGGCCTTCTGAGGGCCGTGGCCTGCTTCCTGGAGCCAGACTCTGACCCTCTGCTTCCATCTGGGAGTTGAACGCTGACCATCACACGTGAGTCCCTTTCCCATCCATGAGGACGGGTGACTCCAGATCACCAGAGCCACCGCAGAGCCAGGAGTCGGGACCCCCGTCTGGCCCCTGGAACCCGGGTGCCCACGTGCCTCTGTTCCCTCCTCCGAGGGGGGCCCGGGAGCTCTGGGTTGGGCACACGTGGGTCCTTCCTCCACCTGGGTCAGGCTCCCCGGTCACTCCAGGTCCAGCCCCAGGGCAGAAGCAAAGCCCGGGAGACCCCAGGACCTTGCCGTCAGCTGACTCCCTCATGACACAGACGGGGAGCGGGGCACTGAGAGGGACCGTCCTGCCTGAGCACAGAGCGGCTGCCCGGGACAGGAGGAAGGCCCAGCTTCTACCCAGCCCCCTCGTGGGACCAAGGCGTACAGAGGGGACAGGCCTCAGATCCGGCCACCACACACCCTAGGGGCCTCCTTCATGGGAAAGGAAGAGGCCCAGCGCTGTCCTGTTTATCCCTGAAGATGTTCACGGTTCTAGGCACAAACACAGCTATTGGGTCAACTCAGAGCCAACGGTAATGACCACACTGAGCTTTTCATTCCCAAATTCAAAAAATTATGTGGTTATATGACTTTTGTTGTGAGATAAAGATCTCTATTAAAAAAAAAAGACACTCGCTCTCCTGTGGCCAAGCACCAATATAAAGAGTCGTCCTAACAGCACAACTGCAGGCTCCTGGGGAGAGTGA